TCACACGGCCCCTGCCTCCGCAGCGGGGTACTGCCCCAACCCAGGCATCCCCATCGGCACTCGGAAGGTGGGCGGCCAGTACCGCCTTGAGGACAGTGTCACCTACCACTGCAGCCGGGGGCTCGCCCTGCGTGGCTCCCAGCGGCGGACCTGCCAGGAAGGTGGCTCTTGGAGTGGAACAGAGCCTTCTTGCCAAGGTGACCCTTGACCCAAGCCTGCCCTCAGGTCAGATCTTGCTCTCTCGGCCTCGAGTCCCCGGCCAGGGCACTGTCTCCTTCCCGCCAAACCTCCCCGTCCAGCTTCCTGCTGAGCCCGGCTGCTCTGGACACACACCCCCGCGTTCGGGGCCCTGGGCCACCGCCCCCTGACACGGGCTGCTTCCCGACCCTCCCAGACTCCTTCATGTACGACACCCCCGCGGAGGTGGCCGAAGCCTTCCTGTCTTCCCTGACGGAGACCATAGAGAGCGTGGACGCCGAGGATGGGCACAGGCCAGGTAGGAGGCGGCGGGCGGCGGGCGGGCGGCGGGAGGGCAGGCGGGGCCTGACTGTCTGGGCGCACGCAGGGGAGCAACAGAAGAGGAAGATCGTCCTGGACCCCTCGGGCTCCATGAACATCTACCTGGTGCTGGACGGATCGGACAGTATCGGGGCGCGCAACTTCTCGGGCGCCAAGAACTGCCTCCGGGCCTTCGTTGAGAAGGTGGAGCCCCCCTCCAGTGCGGGGACCCTGACCGGTTAGGGCCCCCTGAGCCCCAGGGTTTCAGAAAACCCTCAGGCCCTATTCTGTCCTCCCGCCCCTTCACTTGAAGCAGTTTCTTCACCTTTAACCCAGATGCCTCTGAAAACCCCAGTGACCAGGACCTGCCCCGTCTCAGCCACGTATTCCCCTTGCAATGCCTTACCCTTGATTCCCTCAGGTGGCAAGTTACGGGGTGAAGCCAAAATATGGTCTAGTGACATATGCCACGAACACCAACATTTTGATCAGAGTGTCCGACGCACAGAGCAGCAATGCAGACTGGGTCACAGAGCAGCTCAACAGAATCAGCTACGAAGGTCAGAAGCCAGGGGAGTGGTAGGAGGGGATGATGGGAAGTTCACTCCCTTCGGGTCAGAGAGGTCAGAGGTCAGGGGTGTTGTGTGAGACCCCCTGGGACCAGGAGGACCACCGTGCAGGGCTGGTTGACAGCAGGGCCCACGGGAGCAGGTGAGTGGGAGCTGTTGGGGGCTGAGTCACTTGCAAAGGGGAGTCAGTGGGCTGACAAGCCACGGAAAGGTTGGAAAATGTGGGATGTTGACAGGCCGCAGGGTTCAAGGACGGCTTGGAAGACGGGAGGTGACAATCCCTTTCCCGCCCACAGATCACAAGCTGAAGACGGGGACGAACACCAAGAAGGCCCTCCAGGCAGTGTACAACATGATGAGCTGGCCGGAGGACACCCCTCCCAAGGACTGGAACCGCACCCGCCACGTCATCCTCCTCATGACTGACGGTCAGAAGGGCTCTCGCCTGCCAGCTCCCCACCTCACGTCAGCCCACATGTAACATCGCACTCATGGTGGGGCCCTGAGCAGCAACAGGCCTGAACCATGATCTTCCTGCGACATTTTACGAGGGATTCTGTGATCCGTCACTTCCAAACCTGCCTCCCAACCATGTGCCTGTCTGTGGGCAACCTGTCTGTCCGGGCCCTCCTGGGCCCTCATGCTCTGTCTCTCCTGTAGGCTTGCACAACATGGGCGGGGACCCAGTCCCTATCATCCACGACATCCGGGCTTTGCTGGACATCGGTAGAGATCGCAAAAACCCAAGGGAGGAGTACCTGGGTGAGTCCCACTGCCCAGGACCAGCACCCTGCCTTCCCAGCTCCCGGCCCCCTCCCCCGGGGGCACTCACCCTCCCCTTTCTCCCTCAGATGTCTACGTGTTTGGGGTCGGGCCTCTGGTGAACCAAGAGAACATCAATGCTTTGGCTTCCAAGAAAGATAAAGAGCAACATGTGTTCAAAGTCAAGGACATGGATAACCTGGAGGATGTTTTCCACCAAATGCTTGGTAGGCAGATGCCAGGCCGCAGCATGCCAGGAAGCTCAGCTCTCCCAGGCCCCTCCTTCCCGCTCCCCCGCAGCTGGGCAGCTGGGCAGGCCTCTCCCTGGCTCCACCAGTGTCAGGACTGCTTCCTGGCGCGTCCACTCAGTCAGAGCCCTTTCTCAAGCCCCCGTTTCAGAGGCCCCGGGACAGACAGCAAACTAGTGAGCGGGGCCCAACGCCAGCCAAGTCTCCGACCTTAGCCTCAGGTTCTCTCCGCCTGTGGCTTCAGGTCCTCAGGGCAAGCAGACCGATGCCCTCACCCTTCTCCTCACGGCCTCGGCACCCTCCACAAAGGTGCTGCCGTGGGGACGAGTGCCCACTCAGCGCCCTCTCCCTCCTTCCAGAGGAAAGCCAGACTCTGGGACTTTGTGGCATGGTCTGGGAGCACAAGGCCGGTACCGATTACCACAAGCAACCGTGGCAGGCCAAGATCTCCGTCACCGTGAGCACGGCGTCCGGGCTGGGGTGGGGATTGGCAGGGCAGCGTCCACGCTGGAATCGGGTTTGTGAGCGAGCGTGCTCGCCTTTATTGCCAGCGCCCTTCCAAGGGACACGAGAACTGCATGGGGGCCGTGGTGTCCGAGTACTTCGTGCTGACGGCGGCGCACTGCTTCACGGTGGAGGACCAGCTGCACTCGATCAAGGTCAACGTGGGTGAGGATGAGGCAGCCCTTTGCACCCACGGAATCATTTGGTCTGGCCCCGCCAAGGCCTTAGGGATGAGTTTGACCAAATACAGCAAGCTTTTTTTCCTTGTTAATCCTCACCTGAGGACATTTTTAATGACAGAGTGGAAGGGGAGACATTGATGTGAAAGACACATTGATTGGTTGCCTCCCAGGGGCTGGGGAATCAAGCCTGCAACCGAAGTACATGCCCTCGACCGGAATCCAACCTAGGACCCTTCATTTCGCAGGCTGATGCTCCAACCACTGAGCCAAACCAGCTAAAGTTGAGCAGGCTGATTTTTAATTTGATAATTTTGTATGGTTCATGAATGATGTTATAAGCATCCACATGGCCCTTGGCAGAAAGACCCCTGCCCGCTTTATATGCTGAACAGTAAGGGATGGCCTGGGACCAGAGGCAGGAGGCTGCCCAGAGAAGGGGGGGGGGGCAGAGGCAGGAGGCTGCCCGGAGAAGTGGGGGCGCAGAGGCAGGAGGCTGCCCAGAGAAGTGGGGGGGCAGAGGCAGGAGGCTGCCCGGAGAAGGGTGGGGGGCAGAGGCAGGAGGCTGCCCGGAGAAGGGTGGGGGGGCAGAGGCAGGAGGCTGCCCGGAGAAGTGGGGGGCCAGAGGTCTTCTCCCCTCTGACCTTAGGAGGAATGAAGCAGGACTTGGACATAGAAGAAGTCCTATTTCACCCCAAGTACAACATCAATGGGAAAAGAGCAGAAGGAATTCAGGAATTTTATGACTATGATGTGGCCCTGATCAAGCTCAAGAAGAGGCTGCAGTACAGCCAGACTCTCAGGTGAGGCGGCTGGCTCCGAGGTGTGAGGGCGGAGGCCTGGAGTGCCGTGTGCCATCCGTGTCCTGCCTCTCCTGCAGGCCCATCTGTCTCCCTTGCACTATGGGCACAAATCAAGCTTTGAGGCTTCCATTGTCAACCACTTGCCAGCAACAGAGTAAGACATGTTGAGGGAGAGGAGCACGAGGGTGAAGCCCGACACAAGTGGGCAGAGGGCGCTGGCGGTGCCCGCCGGAGCCCAGCCCTAGGGAGGGCGCGGGCGCTGCGGGGCTGGTGGGGAGAGCAGTGCTGAAATGACCCAGTCCGTCCATCTGTCCAGAGCAAGAGCTGCTCCCTACAAAGGATGTCAAAGCTCTGTTTGTGTCCGAGTCGATCAAGAACAGGAAGAAGGCGCTGACTCGGAAGGAGGTCTACATCAAGAACGGGGATAAGGTGAGGAATGTGGGACCCTATGGAGGTCCTCGGCTCAGACTCTCCCTGAGCGAGCTTGTTCATCCCTCCCCCCGCTTCCCTCCCCACCCACAGAAAGCCGCGTGTGAGAGGGACGCTCTGAAGGCCCCGGGCTATGAAAACGTCAAGGCCGTCTCCGAGGTGGTCACCCCCAGGTTCCTCTGCACTGGAGGGGTGGATCCCTACTCGGACCCCAACACCTGCAGAGGTGAGAAAGGCTCCCTGGCGGACTGCTGGGTCCGGAGGCCCAGGAGTTCTGCTGCAGCTTCTCCTCCCCGGCAGGTGACTCTGGCGGCCCCCTGATTATTCACCAGAGGAGCCGCTTCATTCAGGTAAGCCTCCCTGTTCCCAGCGGGGGGAGACACCAAGTGCTCAGCACGGCCCAGAGCAGGAAAGGTCACAGATGGACGCCCCTGAACCGGCGGGTCAGGCCCCCGGGGTGGCCTGGCTGCTGCGGAGGACAGGACTGAGTGGGCCCCTAGTCTATTTCTCCCAGGTCAGTGCAGGTGCCATGGGGGTGCAGAGGAATTCTACCAACTGGTCCATGGCAACCCCATGCCCGCTGCAGGTTGGTGTGATCAGCTGGGGAGTAGCGGACGTCTGCAAAGACAAGCAGCTGCCGCAACAGGTACCTGCTCACGCCCGAGACTTTCACATCAACCTCTTCCAAGTGCTGCCCTGGCTCAAGGAGAAACTCCATGATGAGGGCCTGGCTTTCCTATAGGGGTTTCCTGCTGGAAAGGGGCCTGGGGTCAAATTAAAACAGCTGTGACAACACCTGTGTTCAACATCCTTGGGGCACGGGAGTGGGGAAGGTGCACTGGCCATCTTGCTTCAAACAGGTAAAACCTAACAGCTGCTGTCAAAGGCTCAACCCAATCCCAAGTGCTGAGAAAGCAGAGGCTGAGGGAGATGTGTGAGCTTCCACCTCAGTGCTTTACTGAGACCAGTGTCGGGGCAGGCGGGGCACACGCAGTTCAGCTCCGCCACCTAGAAGCCATCCACCAGGTTTTCCTTGTAGACATCGTCGTTGTAGACAATCTGGGTCCTTTTGTCCCGATGGCAACCCTTAGGACTGTTCTGGATGGCTAGGGAGGGAGGAAAGGATTCGTTAAGGCCTGAAGGAGAGTACTGGTGAGACCCAGACGGAATCTGACCACCTCACTCCTGGCCTCTGGTTCCTGGAAGCTGTTTCTATGCTGCCCTCTGGTGGCCGGATGCCTGTCTCCCTTTAGCCCCTTAGGCCAGTGGCTGCCAAACCATCACATCACCCGGGCACATGGGGATACTATAAGAAATGGCTTGTTCTTAGAAAAAACAGCAAATGTTATTACTGACACATCTGAATGGTGCTTTCTACTGCTTTGAGTCAATACATCAAAAATTAGCCGAAACCGGTTTGGCTCAATGGATAGAGGCTTGGGGACTGAGAGGTCCCGGGTTCGATTCCAGTCAAGGGCATGTACCTTGGTTACGGGCATATCCCCGGTAGGGGGTGTGCAAGAGGCAGCTGATCGATGACTCTCTCGACGTTTCTAGCTCTCTATCTCTCTCCCTCTCTGTACAAAATCAATAAAATTAAAAAAAAATTAAAATTATCCTGGCCCGGTATGCTCAGTGGTTGAACGTCAACCTATGAACTATAAGGTCACAGTTAGATTCCTGGTCAGTGCACATGCCTGGATTGTAGGCTCGATCTACAGTGTAGGGTGTGCGGAAAACAGCCATCAGTGATTCTCTCTCATCATTGATGTTTTTATCTCTCCCTCTCCCTTCCTCTATGAAATTAGTATTTTTTAAAATATTAAAAATTAGAAAATCTCTATAGCCCTTTGTTGACATACTGGTCTTCTCTGAATCATTCCTTTTATCTGGAAGGCCACTCTGTCTGAACACCCTGTTATGCCCCACTCCTTGGCTAGGAAAATCTACACCGAGTGGCCAGATTATTATGATCTCTGAACGCATAATAATCTGGCCACTCAGTGTGTGTGTGTATGTGTGTGTGTGTGTGCGCGCGTGTATTTTTATTAGAGGCCTGGTGCATGAATTTGTGCATTGGGGGGGGGGGGTCCAGCCAGCCTGGCCAAGGGAAGAGGACATGGCGGTTGGCCTGCCTGCCTGCTGGATGAACTCCTGGTCGAGGGGACAATTTGCATATTAGCCTTTTATCATATAGGATACACACTGAGTGGTCAGATTGTTATGCGTTCAGAGATCATAACAATCTGGCCGCTCAGTGTATTTCCGCTAAAATGAGAAGCCCTCACTCCCCGACAGAGCTCACTCTGGGGCAGCTGTGGCCGGAGCTTTCCCTTTCCCTCTGTCCCCTTCCTCGTCCTCCCTGTTCCAGTGTGTCCCTCCCCTCACCCCAAGGATCTCATCCCCGCCACTCTGGGGCTGCCGTGAACTCCCGGCAGCAGCTCCCAATCTTTGGGGTCTCTGTACCTGGCAATGCTGACCATGCCCTTTCTCAAAGCGGGTGGCCTCTGTAAAAGGCCAACCCTCCTGCCGTCTCCTTTGCTGCATCCTCCGGCCTAACCTGTCAGGAGGGCTGGGACGAGCGGGGCACGGAGAACAGCACCCTGCTTCCACCCAATTCCCTGGATATTCCCAAGCCCAGTCCTGGGTCATTTTTTCTCCAGAAGTCAGCCCCCCTGGTGATATCATCATTCTGTTGCCACCTGATACAGGTGACAATGTCTTCATTCTCCCTTGTGCCGGAGTTCCAGTTCCTATTCCAAATGCTTATTTTATAAAACCAACGACGCTTCACCTCAAAGTGAACAAGGCCACGAGATGCTCCTCTTCCTCACGAGCCTGGCCTGCTCAGTTAGTTATTTTCAACCGTTTTCTCTTCTTCTCCTACTTCCAACTGACCGAGGGCCTGACCACTCTCCTTCCCTTTCCCAGACCCAGACCTCTAGGGAACCCAGGGCATGCAGGGGAACAAGAAGGGTGAGCGCTGGGGACGGGATGAGGAAGCTCGTTCTTACCGAGGGAGCCCCACACAGACTTGCCGGTGGCGGCATCCAGCATGGGCTGTTTGCGGGCGATGCTAACTTTGAGCTGCACGGACTCCACCTGGGTCCCGTTGAGCTGGGACAGAGGGTGGGGGAACGTTACAGACAAACCAAAGGAGCCTTTCCAGGAGCTGCCATCCTAGGAGGGGACTGAGCAGGGATCAGAACAAGGCTTGCCGGGAGTGTGGAGGGACTCTTAGGACTTCAGAGAAAACACGGGGACGGCAGGAGGGGGAGGAGCGGATCTGGGAAGTCCCACCTCAGCCACGGCCTGGTCTGCTGACTCCATCTTTTCATAGGTGACGAAGGCACAGCTGGAGGAGAGGAGACAGGGTCAGTAGAGGGACGTGGCTCTCCTCAGCGGAGCCCGATGCTACAGGCGCGGGGGACGGGCTGGCCGAGGCCGCGCACCCGTTCCTCCCGGGACCGTCCTCCTTACTTTCTGGGGGGGTCCATGGAGAGGTCAATGATGTTTCCGAAGGGGGAGAAGGCCCCCCGGAGGAGGGTGGGCGTCATGTCTTCCCCATACACGTAGAGCGTGTTCCCCTTCCGAGGGGCCCGGCGCTCAGGGAACGAGTCCGACCCTGTGGGATCGCAGATGCACCCTCACCCTCCACGTTAAGAGTCCACGTTAGCTGGAGCCACTTTCCCACCAGCCACGCCCACTCACTGCGGAAAGGGCCCTCTCGGTCCCGGTCTCGGTCCCGATCCCGATCTCGGTCCCGGTCTCGGTCTCTGTCCCGGTCTCGTTCCCTGTCCCGGTCTCGTTCCCTGTCCCGGTCTCGTTCCCTGTCCCGGTCCCGTTCTCTGTCCCGGTCTCGATCTCGGTCTCTGTCCCGTTCTCTGTCCCGGTTCCGCTCACGACTACGGTCCCGGCTGCGGCTTCGGGGAGGGGAGACTGAGGAGCGGGCATTACCACGTTCTTCGTAGCCCCATTCAAAGCTCCGAGGAGGGCCGTCACCAGCCCCTGGGCCCTCTGCCTCCTCCCCATCTGGCCCCAGGTCCCGAAGCCGGTCGCTGGAAGACACAAAGCTAGGGGAGGCAGTGAGCATCAGAGGGGGCCTTTACCTTGTCTTCCGAGACCCTGTAGACTCAGCACTCGCTCTGGCGCCCAGCTCCTTCCCCTCCAGCCCCTCCACTCACGGGACCCAGCCCCATTTCCAACTTGCTAACCTCTCATACAGAGATTTCCTTTGGGGACGTCTGGACGACTGAAAGAGACCAAGTTTCAGTTAGGAGAACCCCTCGTTTCGGGCGTGGGGCCCCGCCCTCAGGGACAAAGGAGTGGGAGCGTTACCTCCTGCAGATCGTCATCGGCAGAGATGCTCCTCTGGAACGGCTGGAAAGTGGGGACCGGCCCCTTCTCAGGGTCCTGGAGGGTGGCAGAGACCTACCTCAGAGTGGGAGCAGGAGGCGGCAACCATGGGACAGAGAGAGGGGATTCCTCTTCCCTCAGCCCTTCTCGCCTTCCGCTGGCCAGTCATTTTTTCCTTTTAATTCCTTTGTACTTTTCTATCTTTTATTTTAAATATCTTATTGATTTTTTACAGAGAGGAAGGGAGAGGGATAGAGAGTTAGAAACATCGATGAGAAAGAAACATCCATCAGCTGCCTCCTGCACACCCCCTACTGGGATGTACCCTCAACCAAGGTACATGCCCTTGACCGGAATTGAACCTGGGACCTTTCAGTTCGCAGATCGATGCTCTTTCCACTGGCCAAACCGGTCAGGGCTGTACTTTCCTTATTTGATTATGTGGTATTTTAAAATAAGTGACCCTTATATACCTGTAAAGTACTTAGTGTTTCTCAACATTTCTTGAACCTGCTAACGTTTCAGCCTGCTCACCTCCTGAGAACACAATCCAAGGGGCTCTCACACATGGACTGGAGCCAGACTGCAAAGTGCAGAACTTAGGAGTCCCCCGCTGTCTCCACTTTCTGGGTAACCACCCGAAGCTCGGAGTGGCCGACAATTTGCCAGGATTGAGCAGGCATTCCTTTTCCCCTCAACCTGCCTGCATTCCAACGCGGAGGGATGCCCCCTGAAGTCAAGGGTCCCTGGACTAGCTTCCTGCTTGTGCTTACTTTTAACTTTCCCTCTAGGGTTCGAGAACGCTTGAAGCCCGAGTTCTTGGTCTCAGCCTTGATGGCACTGATGGCTCCTGACTTCACCAGCTGCTTCGCCTGCTCCGTTGCGGTGGCCGTGTCCACCACGGGCTGCTCTGACAGCGCTGGGGCGGAGGGAAAGAGGCGTCAGGCCGGCCAGGGGGGAGAGGCCAGCCTGTGCTCCCGCCTCCCGTCACTCACAGCGTTTCACACCGCCCTGGCTGGCTGTGCTGCTGCTGCTTTGCTTCTTCAGAGCCAGCAATGCCTTTTTCTGGGAATGAGAGAGAGAGGGGCTGGTGAGGGCCACCTGAGCAGATCCTTCCCCAAGGCCCGGGCACCTCACTCCGGCCCTTTCTCAGGAAACAGCGCAGCGGGGCTCCTGGAGGGCTCGCTGAGGCAGCCTAGGCATCTGCAGGGCAGGGACACCTGAGCTGCCCAAACAGGCATCCAGTGACTCCCCAAAGGATCGAGTTTCTGAAGGCGCAGACGAGGAATTCAATCATGGGCCAGAGCTCCGGGGATAAGCTGCAAGCAGGCATAGGCCTTTCTTGGGGGCTTCACTCGCCATCTCCTGGGCACTAACAAGAACACGCCTTTCACTGCTTCACTGCAGGACACGCAAACACACAAGACACAGTTCCTCCTGCGCAAGAAGCTCACAATCCGAAAGTTACAATGTCTGGACTAAATTGTCAAGAATGTTTCAAGAGATGCAAACTGCTTGAGAGCAAGTAAAATTTCCTGATGTTACACTGGACCCTGGGTAAAATCTGTACAACAGAGACTGAGAAAAAGTGTGTTTTCCACAGAGAAAACAGTGTGAAAAAAATGCAGATATAAGGTTTGGGAATGCATGTTTTGGGACTAGTGAATAGTTCTATTTTACTAAAAAGTGATACCAACTTAAGATTTTGTTCCACAAATAATGTGAAACTACTTAAGGATTCTGAGAAAGAGGACAGTCTGGTGTTTCCAATGGATCATTTTAATAAGAGTGAGAAATCTGTTAAAAACACACACTAATAAACGTGTTTAGAGACCATTCTAACAGACTAAGTGAACATCAGCAGAGACCTGATTTATGGAATACGCAGGAAAAAAGAAATGGGGAAAATTATTTTCAAGAAAGAATCAAAGAGCCTGGTTGGTTTGGCTCAATGGTTGGGAATGACCTATGAACCTGGAGGTCATGATTCCATTCCTGGTCAGGGCACATGTGCAGATTGCTGGCTCAATCCCCAGTAGGGGGTGTGCAGGAGGTAACAGATCAATAATTCTCTCTCATCATTGATTTTCCCACTTCTCTTATCCTCTCTTCCTCTAAAATTAAAAAAAAACTTATATATACACACACACACACACACACACACACATATATATATATATATATATATATATATATGAAGCCCAATGTATGAATTCATGCACTAGTGGGGTCCCTTGGCCTGGCCTGCAGGATCAGACTGAAACTGGCTCCCCTGACATCCCCCAGACTGAGAGGGTGCAGGCCAGGCCGAGAAACCCCACCAGTACATGATTGGGGCCGGCGAGGGACTTGGGAGGTTGGCCAGCTCGGGAGGGACCATGGGAGGGTTCCAGGGTCCATCTTGCTCTGTCCCATCTTGCTCTGTCCAGATCAGCTGGACCCCAGGAGCATCTGCCCCCTGGTGGTCAGTGCATGTCATAGTGCATATCATTAGCATATTACACTTTGATTGGCTGAATGGCTACTGGACACTTAGCATATTAAGCTTTAATTACATAGGATATTTAAAAAAAGAAGACAGCATCTGTTTGTCTATGCAAGTGGCAAAGTCAGAGATGAGATTTAAAAAAATTGGTTTGAGAGAGAAACACTGATGTGTTGCTCCACTTACTGCTTTGATTCTTGTCTGTGCCCTGACAGGGAATTGAACCTGCAATGTTGGTGTATCAGGACAATGTTCTAACCCGCCAGGGGCAGAGCTGACATTTTTTATCGCAAACAATGGAAGAACTGCACGTGGTCGGTCCGTATTTGGAAGACGAAGAAAAGGAACAAGGTAAGAACGGGAGGAAGATGACAGCTTTATTTTGGATAGGTGAAGGGTATCACTAAGACACCGACGGGACGGGAAAAACTACACTTGGGGATCACCAGCTTGAGGTGGTCAAAGCCTTGGGGAAGGGAGACGACTCCATGGCCGGCTGATAGACGTGCCGCCTCTGAGCCACCCCTCCTGGCGAGCACACTCCCTCACCTTTTTCTTCAGTTTGTTGAATTTCTTCTGCAGAGCCTCCTCCTCCTCGCTCAGTCCGGGGGGTATCACCAACATGGTGGCTCCTGGTTCAGGGGCGGGCCCAAGACATCTTTCTCCACGGTCCTGGGGTCGCCTCTCCCTAGCCCCGGCTCAGGCTCCCCCGCATCCCTCCCGCGAGGAGCCGCGGACCCAGCGCCACCGGCACCGCGTGGACCGGGAGAAACACCCCTCCGTCGCCCAGACGGTGGCACCGGGCCCCCCGCCCCACGGGTCAGTAGGCAACCGCGGGCCCAGCTGCAGAGGAGGCGGGGCGGCCGCGTCCTCAGCACCGGAAAGGGGAGGAGGAAGAGGGCTGGGGAAGGGCGAGGGCGAGGAGAGCCTCTTACCTGGGGGCGTCCGCCCGGCCGCGGTCTCGGGCGACGGCCCGGGGGCACCGTCGCCGGCTCGGAACGATGACGTAGCGAGGGCGGAAGCGCGGAACCGGGCGGCGCAGGCACTTCCGCCCGGCCTTCCCCGGCGCCGAGCCGGCGGTCCCTCGCAGGCACTCGTCCCCGCCCCCGGCGGGTGGGTGGCGGAAGTCGCCTTCATTTCCGCCCTTTCGGGGGCGGGGCTTACCCTGCTACGCCTTGCTGCACTTCCGGCTGCGGGGCAGCAGCCGTGGCTCCCCGATGATGGAGACGGAGCGACTCGGTGAGGGGGCGGGGGTGGAACGAAGGAGTAGACAGGAATCTACCCTTGACCCCTGACCTCTGATCTTTCTCCCGTAGTGCTACCTCCCCCAGATCCCCTGGACCTGCCTCTTCGGGCTGTGGAGCTGGGATGCACTGGGCGCTGGGAGCTGCGGAATGTGCCTGGGGCTCCAGAGAGCACGGTGAGTGACTTTGGACCGCAGAGAGCTTAAAACCCTTTCCTTACAGCAGGAGTAGCATGACCCGCTTTTCTGTCCACACGTGTCACCCGGGCCTGGCCTGGTGGCGCTGCTCTGGGTCGGGCGCTCTGGGGATGCCCTAGCCCGGGAACTGCTCTTTGCAGTGTGTCTTCTCTCAGTGCAGTCCCTTTTGTCTCCAAGCACTTGCTGGTGGCTGAGATGCTAGCCCTCTTCATCTTTTGAAATTTTCAAACCTCAGTGTGCCTCATAATCAGTGGGGGAAGCTTTTAAAAATACAGATTCCTAGGTCCAGCTTCTGAAATCCGTGCTATTAGCCAGCAGGTCCTTTGTCCTGTAAAGTATTACAGCCTTTGGAAAACATCGCCTCACTTTGATTGTCCTAGTCTGTCTTGGTCACCTGCCATTCCTCACACCAGTCCCATCACGTTCTCTCGTCTCCCCGTTTCAGCTTCCCCACGGCCTCCCACCCTGTGCCCCAGATCTGCAGCAAGAAGCAGAGCAGTGGTTCCTGTCGTCTCCAGCCTGGCTGCCTCTGCACGGCCTGGAGCACTCAGCTCGGTGAGGGGTCGGAGGGGCCTGGACTAGGGAGATGGGCCATGAAGGAAGCTGAGACAGGAGAAAGAAGACTTGAAAATGACTTCCTTCTCTCTAGAAAATGGCAGAGGAAGATGGATCCTTGGTCTCTCCTCACTGTACTGGGCGCCCCAGTCCCCTCCGACCTGCAAGCCCAAAGACAACCAACCACGGGCCAGATCCTGGGCTTCAAGGAGGTAAGCTCTCAGGGGCCAGGAGTCGGGGAGGGAGATCGGAGGCAAGCTCAGCCTCGGGCTCTGATCCCTCCTCAGGTCCCGCTGGAGAACACAGACCTGTCGGCCACGACCTCCTTATCTCTGCGCCGGCCGCCGGGGCCCATCTCCCAGTCCTTGTGGGGGAATCCAACACAGTACCCTTTCTGGCCAGGTAATCGTCGTGGGCATGAGATTGTAAGGGAGGGAGCCCTCGGTCTCCAGGGAGGGGTTCCCTTATCCCGCCTCATGAATCCTCGTGCCCAACCTCTCTCCAGGTGGGATGGATGAGCCCTCCATAACAGAGCTGAGCACTCGGGAGGAAACTGAGGAGGAGATAGACTTTGAGAAAGGTGAGGTGGTGCCAGGATGGAGGCAGGGCTTCAAGTCTGGGCCCTGAGCTGCTGTTTGCCCTTCTGTGCCTTGGATCAAGTTAGGAAAAGGTCCCCCTTCCATAACCAACGTACTGTCTCGTGTCGGAAGACTGTTACAACTTTCCCTAGCTACGGCGCTGTGCTGTGACGCGTTCTTCGGTCGGTGTGACGGGTGACTTGGTCAGGTGCAGCGGCCTGACCCTGTCCCTGTCCTCCAGATCTCCTCACTATTCCGCCCGGCTTCGAGAAAGGCGTGTCCTTCGCAGCAAAGGGTGAGCTGAGGGGTGGGAGTGGAGAGGTGCACCCTCTTCCTGTGGGACAGAGATGATGGATGGGCCTCCCTTTTGCCTTGCTCCTCAGCTGACCCAGCTCCAGCTGCTGGGCTGCTCAGCCTCAGCCGCCTGCTAGAGCCCCTGGATCTGGGCGGGGGCGATGAAGACGAGAGGGAGGCAGAGGGACAGCCGGGAGGCACCAGAGGAGACACTGTTCCAGCCTCTCCCTGCCGGGCTCCCTTGGCCCGAGCAAGCAGCTTGGAGGACCTCGTGCTGGAGGTGGGTGCTTCTGGGCAGTTGGAACAGGAAGGGAGGGGCCTTGGCGCCAGGAGGCGGGCCGGCTGGCTTGGATCTCAGGGAGACTGGACATGAGCAGTGGGGACGGGAAGCGTTCTGGCTGTATCTGCATCACCCATCTCCCCTCCTTTTCCAGGAAGCGTCCACAGTTGTGTCCCCTTCAGAGCCCCCCAAACCCCTCCCTCAGGAGCAGTGGGCCATTCCTGTGGACGTCACCTCCCCCGTTGGTGACTTCTACCGCCTCATTCCCCAGCCCGCCTTCCAGGTAGGGTGGCCCAGTCCTCGCATCTCCCCTCCTCCCGGCTCGCCGCCTGTCTGCTCTCCTCCCACAGGCCAGGCGCCTGCCAGCCGGTCCTGGACCTCAGTCCGGGCCCAGCTCGCTCTGGCCTTCCGCCCTGCGTGCCCAGGAGCCAGGGGCAGGAAGGCCCTCATCCAGCTCTCCCTCCACAGTGGCCGTTTGAGCCGGACGTGTTCCAGAAACAGGCCATCCTGCACCTGGAACGGCACGACTCGGTCTTCGTGGCGGCTCACACGTCGGCAGGGAAGACGGTTGTGGCCGAATATGCCATCGCCCTCGCCCAGAAGCACATGACCCGGTGCAGCCCTCCCTTCCTCAGCCATCCCTGCTTCCTCCTGCGTCTGTCTCCTCTCTTCCCGTGGCTTTACTTCATCTCTTACTCCTTACTTAAAAACGCATTTTTATTGATTTCAGAGAGGAAGGGAGAGGGAGAGAGAGGAACATTGGTGATGAGAGAGACTCATGGATCGGCTGCCTCCTGCATGCTCCACCCGGGGGTTGAGCCTGCAACCTGGGCGTGTGCCCTGACTGGGAATCAAACCATGACCTCCTGGTTCATAGGTCATTGCTCAACCACTGAGCCACACCAGCCTGGCTTTACTTCATCTTTTCGATGGGAGATTTGGGGGAGGAATTGAGATGGGCCCGGGAGGAAACGAGAAGGTGTGGGGAGAGTGTAGAAGCGTGACCTGCATGCATTTCGTCCAGGAAGGGGCCGTGGACAGAGTTTTTCTGAGATCACGTCATGAAGGAGAAGGAGGGCAGTGTGGGTGGAGAAAGGAGGCGCCTGAGCTTGGCGGCAGGCTGCTGGGGGGCTCGGGTGGAGGGGAGGTGCTGACTGCAGTCCGTGTGGAGTGACTGGCTCACCTACACCCTCTTCCAGCACCATCTACACTTCCCCCATCAAGGCTCTGAGTAACCAGAAGTTCCGAGACTTCCGCAACACCTTCGGGGACGTGGGGCTGCTCACGGGGGACGTGCAGCTGCACCCAGAGGCCTCCTGCCTCATCATGACGACAGAGATCCTCCGGTGAGAGATGGGTGGTCTGGGTCGGGGAGGGAGGCTGCTCGGGAGTGCTGGCTGGGCTGCTGGACACGGGGCCTCGGGGAGTCAGCCTGCGTTCCCCCCAGCTCCATGCTGTACAGCGGCTCGGACGTCATCCGGGACCTGGAGTGGGTCATCTTCGATGAGGTTCACTACATCAACGACGCGGAGGTGAGGAGCAGGAGGCGTGGCCGGGCCAGCGGTTCTCTCCCGGGGGCACTCTCCCGGGGGCACTCGGCAGCTCCGTCCACACCCGGAGCCTCCCTGCCTCTGCCTCCGGGGGGAGCCCCATGACTCGTCCTCCCTCTGCCCAGCGCGGGGTCGTGTGGGAGGAGGTGCTCATCATGCTCCCTGACCACGTCTCCATCATCCTCCTGAGCGCCACCGTGCCCAACGCCCTGGAATTTGCTGACTGGATTGGGTGAGCTGTGTGTCCCGGGTGCTGGGCGGAGGGGCTGGGTTGGGGCGAGGACTGCACAGCGGGAGAGTGGCCAGACCGTGGGGAGGGGGAGTGGGCTGGGGAACATGGCCCACTTGGGCCCACACCACTTTGAGCGTTGAGAGATAGGATGGCGGCTCCCAGAGGCGGAGGTGGGCGGGGCTGTGGCTGCTCCTCCCGCTCCCACCCCTGACCTTGCCTTCCGCGCAGACGCCTGAAGCGCCGCCACATCTACGTGGTCAGCACGGCCGCCCGCCCGGTGCCCCTGGAGCACTATCTCTTCACGGGGAACAGCCCCAAGACCCAGGGGGAGCTCTTCCTGTTGCTGGACTCCCGAGGCGCCTTCCACACGAAGGGGTAAGCGGGGGTGTGTGTGTGTGTGTGTGTGTGTGTGTGTGTGTGTGTGTGTCACCGCTGGCCCAGCAGGGGACTGACGGCCACTCTGCAACCAGGTACTATGCAGCCGTGGAGGCCAAGAAGGAGAGGATGAGCAAACACGCCCAGACCTTTGGGGCCAAGCAGCCCACGCAGCAGGGGGGGCCTGCCCAGGTGAGGACCAGCAGGCTCCACCTCGCACCACCTGCTGCTGCCCTCGTCCGCGGGATCGGAGCTGCTGTGAGCACTGCCCCAGCACTGACACTGCCTTCTCCCCCGCGGGCTCCCCAGGACCGCGGTGTGTACCTGTCGCTCCTGGCCTCCCTCCGCACCCGCGCGCAGCTGCCCGTGGTGGTGTTCACCTTCTCCCGGGGCCGCTGTGACGAGCAGGCTTCGGGCCTCACCTCCCTGGACCTCACCACGAGCTCCGAGAAGAGCGAGATCCACCTCTTCCTGCAGCGCTGCCTCGCTCGCCTCCGCGGCTCTGACCGGCAGCTGCCCCAGGTGTGCAGGGCCCCGGGCTCGGGGCTGGTGGGCTGGGTGCTCGACGCCCCTGACCGCGGCCTGGTCCCCGCAGGTGCTGCACATGTCGGAGCTCCTGCACCGCGGCCTGGGCGTGCACCACAGCGGCATCCTGCCCATCCTCAAGGAGATCGTGGAGATGCTCTTCAGCCGCGGCCTGGTCAAGGTGCCCGCCGCCGCGGCCCTCCCCCTGCGGCCCCTCTCTCGCTTCTTGACCTCCCCAACTTTAGGTTCCTCATCTTAGATGGGATGCATTCAGAAGGGAAACCCAGAAAGCTAGCAAGCATAGAAGTCATTGGAAAAATGCAAATCGAAACTCCTAAGACTTCAGTGCTTAGACGGAGAAACTTAGGAAACTGGCTGATCCAAAAGGTGCCGTAGCCGCGGGCAGGCCTCGGGCACGTGGCGGCTGGGTCCCGGGCCACCGCAGTGAGTGCGTGTCGCATTATGGCGAGGCACACGGAGTTTCTGGCTTCTCAGTGCGTGTAAAAGTTATGCTCGCTCCACACTGTGCTCTCTTAAGTCTACAAAAGGGTTATGTCTGAAAACAGTGCACAGACTTTAAAGAATATGAATGCTCACTGTCTTCTGAGCCTCCAGTGCACTGGAACCTTTTCGCTGGTGGAGGGTCTTGCCCGCCCCATGTTGATGGATGTGCAGTATCTGGGAACTGCAGTCCAGCAAGGTCTGCCTGCCTGGGACTACAGGACCCTCTGTGTAGGGTGGCCAGTCTGCCGTGCCCTGGCATTCCTTGAGCCAGAGTAGGTATAATGTCCTTGACCCTCAAGCCCGGTCCTGCATACAAACACAAAGACGCCCTCTCCCTGGTCCGGGGAACAGGTCTGCTCTTGCTTGGTTGGCCAGCCTGGCAGGGCCTGGCCCCTGCCCTCAGGGAGAGCAGGTGGAGCTGTAGGGATGCTCCCGTGTCCTGCCGCAGTTGGGAGCGGGGTTGTGTGTAACCACGGGAACACGGGTGCGTGCTGAAAACACCCCGTGGAGGAAAAGAAGGAAACAGGATACACACAACTGCTTTCCATGCGAGTTGCAAATTACACGCATACAAGGCAACATGCAAGAACATATTCACACAAAACGATATTAAGACATCAGACGACCGAGGGGGTGGGGGGGAGACACACACACGGGGGTACAAAGAAGTGAATAGGTAGCCAAGTAAGTAAACGCGGGGAGTGGTGGTCCCCTGGTGGCACGGGCTCCGGAGGGAGCCACCTGGACACGCAGCTGCCCAATGCCTCGCTGGAGTAGCGTGGGGCGGCTGCGGGCCTGTGTGCTGATCCCCTTCCCATGTCCCAGGTCCTGTTCGCCACAGAGACGTTTGCCATGGGTGTCAACATGCCGGCCCGGACGGTGGTGTTTGACTCCATGCGGAAGCACGACGGCAACGCCTTCCGGGACCTGCTCCCCGGGGAGTACGTGCAGATGGCGGGCCGGGCAGGCCGCAGGGGCCTGGACCCCACGGGCACCGTCATCCTGCTCTGCAAGGGCCGCGTGCCTGAGATGGTGGACCTGCACCGCATGATGACGGTGAGACGCCGGCCTGGCCCGCCCGCCGGCTCGGCTCCCTCTCTGGCCTTCCAGCCCCTCCTTCCTGTTATTCCCTTTTGCCGGGAAGCCCAGGTGGGAGGGAGCAGCAAGGGCCAGATCGGTCTCCTCTCTAGTCCCACCGAGTGCAGAGCTAGCGGGACCTTTGTGAATCTGTCCACTTTGCTCCCTATTTGGCAGAAAGGAGAGCGGGCAGGGTGGTCCGCAGGGCTGGCCGGGAGCAGCGGGCCCAGCCTGGTCTCCCGCCCCCACAGGGTAAGCCCTCGCAGCTGCAGTCTCAGTTCCGCCTCACGTACACCATGATCCTCAACCTGCTGCGGGTGGACGCCCTCAGGGTGGAGGACATGATGAAGAGGAGCTTCTCCGAGTTCCCATCCCGCAAGGACAGCAAGGTGAGGGGTCGGTGAGCAGTGCCCCGGCCGGGACGGACGGGGGAAGCCCGCTGGGAAGAGGTGGCATGCGGAGGCAGGTGGGATGTGGCAACTGAGCCTGGAGACTCATTTCACGCCTGCCAGGCCCACGAACAGGCTCTGGCTGAATTAACCAAGAAGCTGGGGGCCCTGGAGGAGCCTGACCTGACGGGCCAGCTGGCGGACCTGCCCGAGTATTACAGCTGGGGAGAGGAGCTGACAGAAACCCGCAGCCTGATCCAGGTCAGCAGGGCGAGCGGGGACGGGGAGGGGAGGGAGACAGGTGGCACTCGGGTGCTCCTGAACTGGTCCCCGCATCCCTAACACTCGCTCCTCCTCCCGTGTGCACATCCCCGCTCTTCAGCGACGTGTCATGGAGTCTGTCAACGGGCTGAAGTCGCTCTCGGCCGGAAGGGTGGTGGTTGTGAAGAGTCGGGAGCATCACAACGCACTGGGGGTGGTCCTGCAGGTGACGCAGGGTCTGGGCCCGAGGGAGGAGCAGTCACCCTAGCGGGCCCTCATCTTCCCTCCCATCAGCACCACTCGGTGCCCTCTGCCCTCCCTGCACCCCCATGCCGCCTGCTGCTTGCTTGACTTGGTCTGTACGGGTGGGCTCTGCGTAACTACTCCATGATCCCTGCTGAGGGTGGGATCTGCTCTCGGCCTTGTCGTCCACGCCTCACGTTGCCCTGTCCGGGCCTCCCCTCCCCCAGGTCTCCTCCAACTCCACCAGCAGAGTGTTCACCACCCTGGTCTTGTGTGATAAACCCGCATCTGAGAACCCACAGGAGGGGCGCCCGGCCGCCCCAGCTGTGCCCTACCCAGACGACTTGGTGGGATTCAAACTGTTCCTGCCTGAAGGTGAGAGCAGACGCCCGGTGCCCAGGGCAGTGAGGGCAGGCCTCGGGGTGAGCTCTGACCCTGCCTTCCGTTCCAGGGCCCTGTGACCACACGGTGGCCAGGCTCCAGCCCGGAGACGTGGCTGCCATCACCACCAGGGTGCTCCGGGTGAACGGGGAGAAGATCTTGGAGGACTTCAGCAAGAGGCAGCAGCCGAAATTCAAGTCTGATGCTGGGAGGCCCTTTCCGGGAGGGACCCGGGTGGGGGTGTGGTTGGGAGGCCCGCAGCCTGAGGGCGCACTCTGATGGAAGAGACGTCTCAGGACCTGCTGCTTCCTCAGGAAGGACCCTCCCCTCGCTGCGGTGACCACCGCTGCCCAGGAGTTGCTGCGCCTGGCACAGGCCCACCCGGCGGGACCCCCTACCCTTGACCCTGTCAACGACTTGCAGCTTAAGGATGTGTCTGTGGTTGAGGGGGGACTCCGGGCCCGGAAGCTAGAGGAGCTGATCCGGGGGGCTCAGTGCGTGCACAGCCCCCGTTTCCCTGCTCAGGTAGGGCCCTGGGGGCCAGCTTCTAAGCCTTGTCTCTGGTCCCCTGCAGGCTGCCTGCCCCCATGTCAGCCCGGGCCTCCAGCCCCGTGGAGGGCGGGGGGGACGCTGACCCGCCCCTGCCTGTGGCTCTCCACAGTACCTGAGGCTGCAGGAGCGACGGCAGGTGCAGAAGGAGATAGAGCGGCTGCGCTTCCTGCTGTCAGACCAGTCGCTGCTGCTGCTCCCCGAGTACCACCAGCGAGTAGAGGTGAGGGCAGTGTGTGGGGCTAGTGAGGGAGAACAGCGGCTTCTGACACCCGCCTCTTCCGTCCAGGTGCTCCGGACGCTGGGCTACGTAGATGAGGCGGGCACCGTGAAGCTGGCGGGGCGCGTGGCTTGTGCCATGAGCAGCCACGAGCTGCTGCTCACCGAGCTCATGTTCGACAACGCCCTGAGTGCCCTGCGGCCGGAGGAGATCGCCGCCCTGCTCTCCGGCCTGGTCTGCCAGAGCCCCGGGGACACTGGGGAGCAGCTCCCAAGTACCCTCAAACAGGTACTGCCCCCGCCCCCCGGCTGCAGTATTCCCAGGCCCCACCCCAGGACTCCCAGTGACCTGTCCAACCCTGTAAGCGCCCCTAAGGGCTGGGATGGCTTCTTCCCTGACCCTCGCCTCGCTAGTCCTGGAGCGAGAAGGGGGTCTTACTGACCCTCGCCCTGCAGGGAGTGGAGCGTGTGCGCGCCGTGGCCAAGCGGATTGGAGAGGTGCAGGTGGCCTGCGGCCTGAACCAGACGGTGGAAGAATTTGTGGGGGAGCTGAATTTCGGGCTGGTCGGGGTTGTGTACGAGTGGGCCCGGGGCATGGTGAGTAACTGGACTGGGGTTTGCAGCGGTGGGGAGGCCTGCCCAGGTCTACAATGTGGCCCCCGCCTGCTTCCCCACAGCCCTTCTCTGAGTTGGCAGGGCTCTCGGGGACGCCTGAGGGCCTGGTGGTCCGCTGCATCCAGCGCCTGGCCGAGATGTGTCGCTCACTGCGCGGGGCAGCCCGCCTGGTGGGCGAGCCTGTGCTGGGCGCCAAGATGGAGACGGCGGCTACCCTGCTGCGGAGGGACATCGTGTTTGCAGCCAGCCTCTACACCCAGTGAATAGCAATAAAGCAGCAGACCGCCTGTGTGTGTGAGGTGCTGGGCAGGGTGACCGCTCAAAGACACAGCAGGGAGGACCACCTGGAAGTTGCTTTAACTGCACAGAGACAGGACCAGCCCCCCTGAAATATAAGTCCTTAGGGGCCGGTGTCATGGGGGGGGCGATGGCAGCTCCTGAGTCATGGCTTCCACGTACCATGTGGGCAGGAAGACATGGGGTGCATCCCGGTGCACAGACACGGTGACTGGGCCGCCAGGCTCCCAGGAGAAGAGGTGGACAAGCCTGCGGGGAGGACGGAGTCAGCAGCTGAGGGCTGGAGGCCAGCTCCCGGGGCCCAGGGGGAGGGAGGGCCGGTGCCTCACCTGGGGTCGTCCTGGACGACTGTGTTCTGGGCGAAGCTGAGGAAGGCGGCACAGAAGTTCATGCACACGGAAGGGTTCCAGCCGTCGCGGTCATTCTGGAGGGGGCCGAGGGGGAGGCAGAGACAGTGAGGGCAGGAGTGGGAGAGGGACACCCTACAGGCCTGGACACGGGATCTGGGGCCTTGGTGTGTCCAGGGGGTCCTTACCCTGACGTGTTCGAACATCTGCATGGTGGGAAAGGTCTTGAGGGAACAGACGGAACCCTCGGGGCTGCGGAAGCCAGCGACAACATTGGGGACGCCCAGGAGGAAGGACTGCGCCCACCATTTCAGGAGCTTGTGTCTGTAAGGAAAGACAGGCTCGGGGCGCCGCCTCCTTTTCCCCAAGTCCCTTTCCCAGCTGTCACCTCAGCCCCCCCTCCAGAACCTGTAGAAGCTCCTCCATTGGCCCGGGCTGTGCATCTCCTTGGAGGTCTTGAGCTCCACATAGCAGGCTGGGGGCTCCGGGGAGGGGGCCTGGGGGTCAGTGCAGTCCACCTCCCCCGAGAAGAGGAGAGGGTGGCTTCCCAGGCGGCTGCGTAGCACAGAGCAGAAGGCCACGTTGGTATTAACCTCCCCAGAGGGGTCGGGGGAGCCTCCAGGTTTGTCTGTACAGAGAGAAGCAGCAACAGGGTGGGGGCTCTGACTCCGGGGGAGCGGGCGGGCTGCGGAGCAGGGGCGACTCTCACCTGCACACATGTACTGCTCGAACTTGTACCCCATGTACATCAGCTCCCGGAGCAGGGGCGGCCGGGAGAGCCTCTGGGCCCGGGCGGCCGGCGTCTCCACCTCACTCAGGTACAGCGTCCCCTGGAACCGGGAGGCCGCCAGCTGCCAGCCCTCCTGCCGCTCGTACGGCGTCGTCAGCAGTTTCGTGAGGTGCCCCCGCCACGTCACGACGGCCCCTGCCAGCCAGCCGGGACCCCTGCGCGGAGGGACAGGCTGACGGCCACCCAGCCCCGCTCAGAGGCTCCGGAGCTCCCGCTGAGCCCTCCCGCGCGGGCTTCCCGATGGCCGGCGGGCAGCCCCGTCCGCTCACCCCTCCAGCCCGCCGCGGTGCTCCAGGAGCCAGCGCAGCAGGTGGTCCAGGCCCTCCCGCACCTCCTCGTCCCGCGGCCGGTACCGCTCGGGGTACCCGTCTCTGAGGTCGAAGTCGGGGCGCTGGCCGTTGGCGGGCGGGCGGTAGTAGCGCAGGGCGCGGGCGTCCCCGTGGTAGCGGCGCTGGGCGTCCAGGGAGAAGCAGCCCAGCTGGGAGGGGCGCCGGTAGAACGGGAAGGGCCCGGCGTAGAGCGCGGCGGCCGTGGGCAGCGAGGGCGCGGGGCGCGGGAGTTTGCTCCGCGGCTCAGCCGCCGCCACCTCCCCGGCTCCCCGCTTGGTCCCTCCGGGCTCCATGGGCGCCGGGGGGTCCCTTCTGCGGAGGAGGCGGGGGAGGCGCGGGCGGCCGGCTCCGGCGGGAACCGCGGGGCGGGCGGCGGGTGTGACGGCGGAGCCCGGGCCGGTCCGGAGCGCGGGGCCGCGCGGGCTTCCGGTTCGGTGACGCCATCACCCCGCGCCGGCGGGGCCCGGCCGGCTCGGGGCGGCCGCTCGTCCGTCAGCGGCGCCGGAGCCTCGGTTGGCGGCCGCGGCGCCGGGTCCGCGACATGAGCCGGAAGAGGCCGCGCCCGGGCGCCGAGCCGCTGGGCCTGAGGCGGCGGCGCGGAGGCGGGCGCGCCGAGGCCGACCCCCCGGGGGGCGCGGCCGGGGCCCGGGGCGCGGGGGGCGGCCCTCCGGGCCCGGGGGCGGCGCGCGCGGCGGTGGCGGAGCTGGGCCGGCTGTTCCCGCGCGGCCTGTTCGAGGACGCGCTGCCGCCCATCGCGCTGCGGAGCCAGGTGTACAGCCTGGTGCCCGACCGCACGGCGGCCGACCGGCAGCTGGTGAGGGCGGCGGAGCGAGCCGGCCCGGGGGGACCGCTGGCGCGGCGCTGGGGGGGTCGGGACCGCGGCCTCTCCTTCCCCTTCACTGGCTTCTCCGCTCCTCCTCCCTGGCACCCGGCGGCCTGTCAATGTCCACGTCTCCCAAAGAGCCCACCGCTCTCAGCTTGGTTGCTCTCTTGTTTGCATGTTTTCTGCTTCATTCATCTGCTTCCCCTCTACTTTTGTTTTACTTTCCCCCACTAACTTTTATCCTCTCTCTCTCTCTCTCTCTCTCTCTCTCTCTCTCTCTCTCTCTCTCTCTCTCAAAAAATATATTGATTTTTTACAGGAAGAGAGAGGGATAGAGTTAGAAACATCAATGAGAGAGTCATCGACCAGCTGCCTCTTGCACACCCCCTACTGGGGATGTGCCCGCAACCAAGGTACATGCCCTTGACCGGAATCGAACCCGGGACCCTTCAGTCCCCAAGCCTACGCTCTATGCATTGAGGCAAAGCGGTTTCGGCAATCCTCTCTCCTAATAAATGCATGGCAGACTGTAGTTTTCCACTAAATATTGAGATTCATCTCTCTAGCCTCCCAAGCTTTGGTATATGTTTTCATTATCATTTTTATTTCCAAATGTCTTCTACTTTGCCCTGTGTTTTCCCCCTTTGATTTATTGGGTTATTAGTAACATATGCCTTAATTTCAAAGCGCTTTCTTATTACCTTATTAGAGGCCCCTTGCACGATCGGGTGGGAATAGACTCGGAGGTTGGCCAGCCAGGGAGGGACAGAGAGGGCTCCAGGGCCTGTGGGGACCATTTCGCTCAGTCTCTCTCCCCGGACCCCAGCAGCAGCCCTGGTGGTCAGTGCATGGCATAGGGAGTTGTTGAGCTACCCTGTTTCCCCGAAAATAAGACAGTGTCTTATATTAATTTTTGCTCCCAAAGATGCACTAGGTCTTATTTTCAGGAGATGTCTTATTTTTCCATGAAGAAGAATACGGTACACATTTATTGTTAAATGAAAATAAAGGAAATTTATTACCTGTATATGGTACGGTAGTACGGTAGTTGTCAACACAAACCAGACAAACTGAATCCTACAGTATCAAGAATTTACTCATTTATTCAATGACAATCATGTCATCATCTTCTGGAACATCATCATAACAATCCAATTCCTGAATTTCCTAGTGAATTTCTTGTGACTCCATTTCTTTCAGAATCAGTGGACCAAATCTCTCATGTTTAGCCTGGGGGGGGGGGGGCTTATTTTCAGGGGGATGCTTTATATTTCACTCAAGGAAACCTGTAAGTAGGTCTTATTTTCGGAGGATGTCTTATTTTCAGGGAAACAAGGTACCTTAGCATATTATTAGCATATTAAGCTTTGATTGGTTGAACGGCTGTCCGGTTTACTGGACACTTAGCATATTAGGTTTTTATTATATAGGATAGGATTGTTACTCATTTCTGGCATAAGTGATATAGTGGCCAGAGAGCATACAGTATGATTTTCCTCATTTGAAACTTGAGACTTGCTTCATGCTGTTTCATGGTCAATTTCGCTAAATATTGTATGTGTAGTTGAAAAGAATATGCGTTATTCAGTTATTAATTTCTTAGTAATTAGAGTTACTATTGCAGTCTTCTGGTTCTTCACTGATTATTTTGTCTGTTTGTTCTATGAGTGAATGAAAGTTGGATTAATATACTTTTGTGATTGTGGATGTATTATTGTCTTTTCAAATATTTCCCCTACCTTATCTCTTTCATTCCTCCCCAGACTTCAATTACACATACATTGGACCTTCTCTTTGTATCCTTTACATTTTTTAGCTTCTTGTCTGCATTTCCAATCTTTTTGTCTGTATTATATCCTGGTTAGTTTTTTAGAATCTATCTTACAGGCTAGTAGCTTTTTATTTAGTTGTGCCTTAATCCTAACCCTAACCCTAACCCAAACATTGAGTCCTTAATTGCACTTGCCAGTTCTGGAACTTGTATTTGGTTATTTTTCAACATATTGTGTCAGTTTATATAATTTCTTGCTAAAAAAAATTCTATCTTGATTGTTGTTATTTAAGCATTATAAACATAGGGGTTTTTTAGTAGTCTGTTTTTGATAATTCCCTAATAACATGTCTTATGGGGTCTGTTTCTTTTTAATTTTGTTTTCTTGTGTGTCCATTTATTTATTTATGCTCAGTTATTATTTTTAAAAATATATTGTTATGGCCGAAACCGGTTTGGCTCAGTGGTAGAGCATCCGTCTGTGGACTGAGGGGTCCCAGGTTCGATTCCAGTCAAGGGCATGTACCTGAGTTGCGGGCGCATCCCCAGTGGCGGGGGGTGCAAGAGGCAGCTGGTCGATGTTTCTCTCTCATTGATGTTTCTATCTCTCTATATCTCTCCCTTCCTCTCTGTAAAAAAATCAATAAAATATATTAAATATATATATATATATATATATATATATATATATATATATATATTGTTATGATTTCAGAGAGGAAGGGAGAGGGAGAGAGAGAAATAGAAACATCAACAATGAGAATCATTGATCGGCTGCCTCCTGCATGTCCCCTACTGGGGATTGAGCCCACAACCTGAACATGTGCCCTTGACCAAAATTGAACTTGGGACCCTTCAGTCCACAGGCCAAGGCTCTATCCACTGAGCAAAACTGGCTAGGGTTGCCTAGTTATTTTTTACTGTGCTGGACAGATTTGCCTAAATCAGTGGTCGGCAAACTGCGACTCACGAGCCACATGTGGCTCTTTGGTGCCTTGAATTTTTAGCAAAGGCCAGCTTAGAAGTACCCTAATTAAGTTAATAACAATGTATCTACCTATATAGTTTAAGTTAAAAAAAATTGGCTCTCAAAAGAAATTTCAATCATTATACTGTTGATATTTGGCTCTGTTGACTAATGAGTTTGCCGACCACTGGCCTAAATCATCAAATGCCCTCCATCTTCCAATTACATCTTTGTTGTTGTTAATCCTCACCTGAGGATATTTTTTTCTCCATTGATTTTTTAGAAAGAGTGGAAGGGAGAAACATTGATGTAAGAGACACATCAATTAGTTGCCTCCACCGGGGATCGATCCTGCCACCCACGTATGTGCTCTTGACCAGGAATGGAACCTGCACCCTTCAGTGCTCAGGCCAATGCTCTAGCCACCTAGCCACAGAGCCCAATTATTTCGATGAATTCTTTTGTTGACGTATTATTTGTGAGCTCTTGGATGCTTAACAAATTTTTTTTTTTAAATCAATCTTTATTGTTCATATTATTACAAAGGTTCCTCATTTCTTCCCCCCTCCACCAGGTTCCCACCCCACCCTCAGTCCCCTCCCCACCCCCCATTGTCCTCATCCATAGGTGCACAGTTTACGTTCAGTCTCGTCCCGCATCCACCACTCCCCCTTTCCCCGAGAACAGTCAGCCCACTCCCCTCCCATATCGCCGGCTCTACTACATTCAACAGCTAATATTGTTCATCAGGTTTTTCAATCTCCTCTTTTTTTCTTGTGATGCTTAACAATTTTAAAAATAATATTTTATCCAGCATTTTAATTAATTTTCAGCAGGTGAGTTGGTTCTTGCTGTATTCTTAGAAACACTAATCCTGGTAGATTTTTATTTGTTTTAAACATTTTATCCCATATTCTTTTTTTAAAATATATTTTTATTGATTTTTTACAGAGAGGAAGAGAGAGGGATAGAGAGTCAGAAACATCGATGAGAGAGAATCATCGATCAGCTGCCTCCTGCACACCCCCTGCTGAGGATGTGCCCACAATCAAGGTACATGCCCTTGACCGGAATCGAACCTGGGACCTTTCAGTCTGCAGACCGACGCTCTACCACTGAGCCAAACCGGTTTCGGCATTATCCCATATTCTTCACTACTTTCCTCTGCCCACAGTCTGGACTGTTAATTCTTTGAGGGCAGGGTCTGTATCTTTTTAAAAATATACATATATTTTTATTGATTTCAGAGAAGAAGGGAGAAGCAGAGAGAGAGAGAAGCATCAATGATTGGCTGCCTCCTGGGGATTGAGCCCGCAACCCGAGCATGCCCTGACTGGGAATCAACCCGTGACCTCCTGGTTCATAGGTAGACGCTCAACCTCTGAGCCACACCAGCCGGGCAGGGTCTGTGTCTCAATCACTGTTTTATCTACTCAGTGTCTGGCGTAAGCTTAGTCTTAGAAAAGGTGCACTGATAGTTTCACGTAAGAGGTGCGGTGGGTGGGAGGGTGGGTACCCAACTGGGAAATCCTATTCGGTGACTCATCTGGTTCTCTCCCCGCAGTTTTCCTTTACTTGGAGAAAAACTCCCCGCATCTCACCCTGACACCCTTCTTCTCACCCCATCTTTCTGGAAACAGAAAGAACTTCAGGAACAGGGGGAGATCAGAGTCATCCAGCTGGGCTTCGACCTGGATGCCCATGGGATTGTTCTCACCGAGGACTACAGGACCAGGGTGCGTGTGGCTCGGGGCGCGGGGCAGGCAACTCTCCCAGGCCACACCTCCACCTCCCAGGGCGCAGGGCTCTGGTTGGTATGACGGGGGGAAGGGTGTGAGGTGGAGAGGACTGAGCACAAGGAATCTGCCTCCCACATGCGAGAACATCCCCAGCCTCTCCCTCCTGTTCCAGGTCCTCAGGGCCTGCGACGGCCGGGCCTACGCGGGGGCCGTGCAGAAGTTCCTGGCCTTGGTGCTCCCAGCCTGCGGGGACCTTAGCTTCCAGCAGGACCAGATGACGCAGACCTTTGGCTTCAGGGACACAGAGATCACGTGAGACTTGGGGGGCCAATCACATCTGGCATCTGTACCCTCCTACCTCCCCCTTCCAGCCTGGCCCTTTTCCTTTTGCTGAACCTGCCCAAAGGTTGACTTTTATTTTATTTTTTTTTTAGTTAAATCTAAATTTGTTTCCTTCCCCCAAGAGAGGCCCATCTCATTGGAGCCTTGGACTTAAATTCAGGCTGTCAGCGTGGCTAGTGAGATGCATGTAGAGGCCTGGCAGGGACCACGTGCCTGATGTGACTCACGCTGAGACAGACCCGAGTGGCAGGCACCACCACTCATATTCCAGAGCAGCAGCCGGGCAGCGAGAGGGAAATGTCCCTGCTGTGCGCCATGGGACGTGTCAGTAGACGTGGAGGAGCTGTGGTGAGGCGGCCTAAGCAGTGGCAGGGACACAGGAAAATACCCTATTTCTCCCCTGCGGGCGGGACTGAGCGTGCGTCAGGGCTTGTGGTCAGGGAGGTATCAAGACTGGTTTTAGGAGAAGTAGCAGGAAGAGAGAGTGCGGGAGGGCAGCTGGAAGGCGGATGGGACCAGAGACCCGCTGGGCAGAGGTGTCTGTTGCCTGGTTGCCCATGTTTCCAGCATTAGCAGCGAGGAGAGAGGATTCTCATAGCCAACGCCTCCTCTCTCCTGCTTCCCACCTGCTTAGGCAGCTGGTCAGCGCCGGAGTGCTCACTGTCCGAGATGCCGGGAGCTGGTGGCTGGCTGTGCCTGGAGCTGGGAGATTCGTTAAGTGTTTTGTGAAAGGTATTCTGTCTGCAGCCTAGCCCTCCGCCCTCCAGCACACCTTTCCGGGCTCTGCTGGCCGCAGGCCTTACTCCCCGCTCCTGCCACTCTGCAGGGCGCCAGGCTGTCCTTGGTATGGTCCGGAAGGCCAAGTACCGGGAGCTGCTCCTGTCGGAGCTCCTGGGCCGGCGCGCGCCTGCCTCGGTGAGACTCGGCCTTGCCTACCATGTGCACGACCTCATCGGGGCCCAGCTGGTGGACTGGTGAGTTTTGCCCCAGCCTCTGGCAGTCAGAGCAGCCACCCACAGCGGATGAGGGTTCCCTTCTCCAGGGAAGCCCGGCTCCTCTCCTGGGAACGGAACATTCCTGGCCACGTGCCGATTCTCCCAGACCTTGGGCCCGCGCGTCTGGACCCAACCGTGTCTTTCTCTTGCAGTGTCCCCACCACTTCTGGAACCCTCCTGCGCCTGCCAGAGACGTGAGGGTCTGCACCCCGAGGCAAGCCTGCGGAGGGCCGGGGCCAGGCGTGCTGCCAGGCGACGGAGCGGGGTCACCTTGGGGAGCTTGGCCAGGAGGATGCGCCGTGGACCCGAGGGCGTGCAGTGCCTGCCGGGCGTTACTGCTGCTGTTGACCTGGGCTCCGGGCCAGGGTGGGGTTTGGGCAGTGCCTCGGGGGCCTGTGGACGTGAGGCCAGACCCCATGCCAGGGCCACGGCCGCTGCCTTCCGGGTAGCACGGTGCTGCTGGCACTGTCCGAGGGGCAGGGGGCGGGGTTCTCTGCCCTACATGTTGGATGGAATGGCAAATAAAGGACTTCTGCTGGTGCTCCCTCCTGTGTCTTGTTAATGTGCTGGGTGGCTCCGCGCTTGGGGGGGAGAGGTAAAGCCCCCACTGGGGCTGACCTTGGCCTCATTGTTCGGAGGAAAAGGGTGTGGAGGTCAGTGGGTGGTGGGTGGTGGGCAGTGGGCCTGACTAACCACGGGGTTCTGTCGGCCTGTGGAAGCAGAGGCCTAACCAAGCCCCACTGTGTGGGTTTTAGTGGGAGGCCAGCTTCTTATCGCCTGTTTCGTCAGGGCTTGGCAAAGGAGCCTTGTTTCTCTGCTCTGCCCCACCCAGGTTGCCACCGGTACACAGACACCACATGCCCAGGAGGGGAGGTGCCCAGGCACTGGCCTGGGGGTTAACGGGTGGGGGGTGGGGGAGGGAAGGGGAGAACAGGACCTCTGGGCCATGATTTCCTCAGTGAGCCAGGTGTCCGGGGTGCCCCCCTGCCCCCAACACTGGGCCTGGGGCCAGTTGCTTTTCTTGGTTGTCACGTGGTTTCCCGGCTCTAGCTGGCCAGGGGAGGAGCAAGGTCCAGAGTCTACTCTGCTCCGAGCACGAGGCCAGCCAGAGGGGAGCAGACAGACAGACGGGTCTGGTCGCTCCTGGTCCTGCAGCCATGTGGCTCCTCTGGGGGCTGATCTGGGCGTCCGGCTTCGCCTTGTCTCTGCAGGAGCCCAGGTCCTGGCGGGTGGCGGCTGCTGAGCAGGGGCAGGGGGCTGGGACCCGGGGGGGGGGGCCGCTGCTGACCTGCCTGTTCTCCCCAGGTTGCTCCTGTTTTCCCCTTCCGTGGTTCACCTGGGGGCCCCCCTGTCGGTGGGACTCCAGCTCCAGGATGCTCCTCAGGGGCTGGAAGTGAGAGGGTCTGTGTTCCTGAGAAACCCGTCCCATCACAATGCCCCCTGCTCCCCGAAGGTGGACTTTCTCCTCACCTCGAAGGACGACTTCGTTCTCCGCAGCCTCCAGGTAGCCGCCGCCCGCCCTGCTGCCTCAGCCCGCTCGGGCCCTCCGGCCTGGGCCCTCTGCGGCCGCCTCCGTCCCTGGCTGTCTGTCTCTCACCCGCTCCCTTCCCCCTCACCTGACAGATACTCCCCAAGGATGCCAACAACTGTGGCCTCAAAAGCCTCCTCGGAGGCCCCAAGATCCAGCTGGTGGCCCAGTCACCGTGGCTGAAGCGCGCTCTGTCCAAAGAGGTGGACACTCAGGGCGTCAACCTGCTCTTTTCCTCTCGCCGGGGGCACCTTTTCCTGCAGACCGACCAGCCCATTTATAACCCTGGCCAGCGGGGTGAGTCTCAGCCCCAGGCCTCTCCCTCCCCTCCCCTGCCCCGTCCCCGGGAAGGGCCCGCGGAAGGCTGCCTGGCTAAGGCTCCTCTCCCCTCCCTCCCTTCCTCACGCCGCTCCCTCGCCCTCCGCTCCAGTTCGGTACCGGGTCTTCGCTCTGGACCAAAAGATGCGCCCAACCACAGACAGCCTCACGGTCACCGTGGAGGTGAGTCCCTGACCTCTGACCTTTCCGAGCAGCTAGGGCTACTGACGTGCCCTCCCACCCACCACACTGTCCTCCGTGCAGAACTCGCAGGGCCTCCGCGTGCGCAAGAGGCAGGTGTACTCTCCCTCCTCCATCTACCAGGATGACTTTGTGATCCCGGACATCTCAGAGTGAGCTCTTGCCCCCAGTTCCTGGTTCCCCTGTTCCCCACGCCAACACAGTGTCAGACCCGGGCCCCCGAGCCTCTGGTTACCCCACATCCTCCCCAGGGAGCGTGGCTGAGCCCGCCCTGTCTGTCCTCAGGCCAGGGACCTGGAAGATCTCGGCCAGATTCCTGGACAGCCCGGACTCCAACTACAGCACCCAGTTCGAGGTGAAGAAGTACGGTGAGAGCCTGGCCAGTGTGGTTCAGTGGATACAGCGTTGGCAGGGTCCCGGGTTCGATTCTGGCCAAGGGCAGGTACCTCAGTTGCAGGCTCCTCCCCGGCCCGGGCCCTGGTCAGGGCCGTGCAGGAAGCAACCAGTCGTGTTTCTCTCACATTGTTTCTGTCTTTCTCTCTCTCTTCCACTCTCTTTGAAAATCAATGCCAAAAGTCCTTGGCTGAGGATTAACCAAACAAAAGGACAGTGAGAGCTGGGACACAGGCCGAGGGCCAGGCAGCTCCTCCTGGAGGAGAAGGGAGGAGGGTGGGAGCAGGCAGGGTGGGAGGGAGTCCTCGAAACCCTGCCCCGGAGTCTGACCAGCCTCCCTCTTTGCTCGGGTCAGTCCTTCCCAACTTTGAGGTGAAGATTGTGCCTGGGGAGCCCTACATCCTGACAGCGCCTGGCATTCTTGGGGACATCCAGTTAGACATCCAGGCCAGGTAACTGCTGCCAGGGCGCCTCAGTGTGACCACCTCCCTCCCTCCCCACCGCCGCCCGCCGCGCTCACCCCTGCCCGCCGCCCTGCGCGCAGGTACGTCTACGGGAAGCCGGTGCAGGGGGTGGCGTACGTGCGCTTCGGGATCCTGGATGAGCGCGGCAAGAAGACCTTCCTTCGCGGCCTGGAGAACCAGACCAAGGTGGGCAGCAGGGCGAGGGGCGGAGGTGACCATGGGGGGGGGAGGCGGGTGTTACCTGGCCTTTTCCTCTCTGCCCAGCTGGCGGAGGGCCAGTGCCACATCTCGCTCGCCAAGGCTGAGGTGCAGGGCGCCCTGGAGAAGCTCGGCGTCCAGCCGGCCGACCTCCCCGGGCTGCGCCTCTACGTGGCGGCGTCCGTCATCGAGTCTCCAGGTGAGTGCTGCCAGGCCGTGACTCCGACCCGCTCTGACCTCCGAGGGGCCCTCTGCCCTCCAGCACCGCCTGCCCGCCCGCCCGCCCTTCTTACCCCACGTGGGACCCAAACCGGGAAGCAGCCGAAAGCCTCTCTCCGGCTGGGCTGCCGGGAAGCCCCTCTGTTTATTGTTTTTGCTCATCCGTCCATCCCTCTGTCCTCCCACCTGTCCTCCCACCAGGCGTGTCATGCAGCATCTGTGTGCTGGCCGTGGGTGGCTCCGCGGACCAGCGAGGGGAGGCGGCCTGTCCCCGGAGGCCCCTCTCTGGGTCTGCCTCCTCCCGCCGTCTGCCGTGTCTTGCAGGGGGAGAGCTGGAGGAGGCCGAGCTCACATCCTGGCGTTTTGTGTCATCTCCCTTCTCCTTGGATCTCAGCCACACCAAGCGACACCTCGTGCCCGGGGCCCCCTTCCTGCTGCAGGTGTGCTCTGCAGGGGGGGCGCAGCGGGGCGGGAGGGCGCGGAGGGGGCCCCCGCAGGAGGCCCACGGCCCCTCCTCTCTCTGACCTCCCCTCCACCCCCAGGCACTGGTCCGGGACATGTCAGGCTCCCCCGCCTCCAACATTCCTGTCAAAGTGGCCGCCACGTTCTCTCCGGGATCTGCTTCCCAAATACACCATCAGCGAAACACGGACGAGCGCGGCCAAGTCCTCGTCTCCATCAATGTCCCGCCCACCTCCTCCGAAGTGCAGCTCTCGGTAGGGCCCGAGCGCCCACGGGGCACGGGCGGGCCGGAAGGGCAGGGGAGGAGCTGGTGCCTGGGTCCTGGCACCGACCCTGCTGCTCCCGACCCCTTCTTCCAGGTATCCGCAGGCTCCCCCCACCCCGCCACAGCCAAGCTCACCGTGAGAGCCCCGCCCTCCGGGAGCTCCGGCTTCCTGTCCCTGGAACGGCTGGATCCCCAACCCCCTCGAGTTGGGGACACTTTCCGCCTGAACCTGCGAGCTGTGGGCGTCAGCGGGGCCAGCTTCTCCCACTTCTACTACCTGGTGTGCAGAGGGCGGCGCGGGAGGGAGCCGGGGCGGTGGTTCCGGGCGGGCAGGCGCAGTGAAGAGGGACCCCTCTCCCCAGGTCCTGTCCCGGGGACAGATCGTGTCTGTGGGCCGAGAGCCCAGGGGCGCCCTGACCTCGGCCTCCGTGTTTGTGGACCACCGCCTGGCACCCGCCTTCTACTTCGTGGCCTTCTACTACCACCGGGGCCTCCCCGTGGCCAACTCCCTGCGGGTGGACGTGCAGGCTGGGGCCTGTGAGGGCAAGGTAACGCGCAGGGCTAGGGAGGGGCAGGAGAGGACGAGAAGAACTCTCCATCTGACCCCCCTCGGGCCCTGTGCAGCTGGAGCTGAGTGTGGACAGTCACAAGGACTATCGCCCTGGGGACACGCTGAAGCTCCAGCTGCACACGGACTCTGCTGCCCTGGTGGCCCTGGGGGCCGTGGACACGGCGCTGTACGCCGCGGGCGGCCGGGCCCACAAGCCCCTGGACATGGGCAAGGTTTGTGAAGACCCTCCCCCAGCCCTCCCTGTCCTCTCGGACGCATCCCGGCTGCCGCCCCCTCCGCCCGGCCTCCCTCCCCCACTGTCTGTGTCTCACATCTGTCCATCCGCCCTCACCCACAGCCCGCCCTGCCCCTCAGCCATCTTGTCTCTGCAACAGCCCGCCTTTTCTGGCCAGGTCTTCCAAGTCATGAGCGGCTACGACCTGGGGTGCGGGCCTGGGGGTGGGGACAGCGCCCTGCAGGTGTTCCAGGCGGCTGGTCTGGCCTTTTCGGATGGACTCCAATTGACTTCGACCAGAAATAGTGAGACCGGAGGAAGTGGGATGGGTGGTGGGAGGCAGAGTGAGGAGGAGGACTCTGAGG